GGAGAAGTTCTAAGCACAGCAATGTATTCCTGAATGGATGATGGGGAGGAGGAGGAGTAGATAGGGAATGTCATGGGTTTAAAAACCCATACGGGTTGAAGTCACAGGTGGGTACAGGTTGGCATTTTCATACCCCAACAAAACCTGTACCTGTGACATGGGTGTGATGGGTGTGACATGTCAATCATGAACGCATCACCTTCACCATGACACTCAACCACCACCACCATACCCTCCAGCATGGTTACCAGACAGCGTGGCATGGCAACAACAATGCAAAAGACTCGGATATGTCGGTCAGTAGTAGTGACACACAGACCACAGCAACCACAACAACGATGAGTCAAACACGATGGAATATGGGGGGGATAGACACAAACAGAGGGCGGGCTTACAAGGTGCACCTGTGAAGTTCTCTTTTCTTTTTGTTTCCTGACTATTACAACAGCACCACGACAACGGCACCTGCCAATGGACCCCACCTCACAGATCAACGCCAACACAGTCACATGCAGTTGCTCACCACCACACAACACAATGCTGTCAAAACACTGGCACATGCCCTGTGCCCCAGTTACCATTTCCTGACTTTCCAATCCTCACAGGGTTGCATGGCAGTATTGATTGACACTTGCCCTGCCTTTGCGAGGTTCATTGGTCATTTCTGAAGGGATACCCACACATGGGTTGGGAACCCCCGGGTTTTTGTAAACCCTTGACCTGTACCTGTGAAAACCCACACCCATGGATGCAGGTATGGGTTTTGATGGGTACAGGTGCAGGTTACTCTGGAAAACCCCAGGGTAGCCCATGACATTCCCTAGGAGTAGACCACGGCAGGTATTCTACACACCAACAATTTTCTGTGGCTTCAACTATTAGACTTTTACATTGGCATAACATATGCCTATTCTAATACATATACTTTAAATGAGTGGGATAGCTTGGTGTCTGAATTTATCGACAATGCTCACCAAGCGCATGTTCCCACTAAAAATCTTCTTACACACCAAAAGTTTGGAGAATCCAGGCACCTGAAGGATATAAGATGAGCTATCCAAATAAGACCATGATATATAACTTTATTTCTTTCAAGGAGAACTTCCAAGTGCAATATATTCTGGGGTGGTGATTGGAGTAGGATGCCGAGGACACTTTGGTAAGTGTACTTTGATTTTTGTCTGCCAATAATTCTTGGTGCATTACTTGTTGGCTATGATACAAGATGGAAAGGATATCCTTTCCAAATCAATTGTTAGTGAGGAAGCGCAGCAGACAGAATAGTTTTTGCACACCTGCGCACACTGCACATTGCTGTGTAGAATATTATAGCACCAGAACTTGCAGAAATTCAGAGACAATAATAAAGGGTCTATAATTCAGAATAGAACCTA